GAGAGAGAGAGAGAGAGTATTGGGGTTATGACCTGTCTGGTGGATCTCACTCTCTCTCCAACACTGTCCACCATTTTAATCACATATCCATGATGCCAGTTCGTTATGATTTTTGTAGTCCATTGAATATAGTAAACTTTCCCCTTTCCTTTTACCTTTACTATTTTCTGTTGGGTCATCATCTAATGGGGTGCTAATCATTTCATCATATGGATCTTTAGATTCCTCATTAGCCATAAATAGTGGTGGCAAACAGATGACATCAGCTGATGGAACAGTTTATGAGCAAGATAATGTCACCCTTGGAATGGCTTCCTATTATGTAACTGACACACAAAGGTGGGCCATAAGCAGCACTGGGAGGTTTCTTGATAGTCCCAGGCCCCGGTATATTGAAACCAGTCAATCCCAGTTCACAAACATTTCAGACTCGGAGCTTTTCCAGACAGCAAGGTTATCTCCGGGATCCTTGAGATACTATGGCCTAGGCCTTGAAAATGGGGAGTACACTATTAGACTGGAATTTGCTGAACTAGCATTTGCTACTCCACCTGACTGGCGGAGTGTTGGGAGGCGTGTTTTCGATGTTTATCTCCAAGTATGTATCAGAAAAGAAATTTTTACTTTTGATTGGGGAAAGAGCAAAAAAATAGGGAAAGTATGTCATGGTTTGATGGACTATGGTGCATGGTACTCCAAGCAGTCCATTTCAATTGACAGATGGTTGCGGATTGACCATACCCTCATGTGTGTCCTGGTGAGGGCCCATTCCAGTGAACCTTGGAGTACCATCTACCATGGTGCATTGAACTGTAGTATGCTCTCCTGAGAAAAGAAACACTTCCTTGATTGTGCTGCTCTTTTATGAGGGAACTGAAATAATTCTTCTTTCAATTTTGGAAATCTTTTCAAAAATTTTGATTGCATTCTCTCTGTACTTGATATAGAATTAAACTATGTTTGTTTCTTTATGTTGAATTCGTATTGCTTTTGATGAAAATCGCAAGAGGTTGTGTTTCTGAATCTTGGTTCTTGACATTGATAAAATTGCATCCACTGCTATATAGGGGAAATTACAATTGAAGGACTTTGATATCAGAAAGGAAGCAAGTGACTCTTCATTTAGAGCTGTTTCCAAGACATACAAAGCAAATGTGACAGAAAATTTCCTTGAAATTCATCTCTTTTGGGCTGGTAAGGGTACTTGTTGCATACCCAATCAAGGATACTACGGACCTCTGATTTCAGCTGTTAAAGCTACTCCAGGTGATGACAACTGAGATGAATTCAGATACATTATGACAACTGAAACAATTTGCAATGTTCCCAAGTTCTATATTTGACTTGTATGCTTGTTCAGATTTTGTGCCCACTGTTAGCAACTTACCACCAAGCACATCCTCAAAACAGAACAGAACCGGGTTAATTGTTGGGATTGTGGTTGGTTCTGGAGTCCTGTTTCTCATTGCCATATCAGCAATTTTCATAGTCAGACAAAGAAAGAAAAAAGGGCTATCAGATGGAGGTATTATGGAAGTTTCTAAAACATCATGTATCATCATGTGTTTGGAGAGAGAGAGAGAGAGAGAGAGAGAGAGAGAGAGAGAGAGAGAGGAGGAGGAGA